TGACTTAATGTTTCATATGCTTCTACTCTGCTAAATATACAGTAATAATATTCACAGCTTGGTGAATATCACTTAATTTGATAAATTATTTACCACAGGTAGATATCTGTAAATTAGCCAATCAAATGAATTTCTGCTTTTGAAGTTTTAGCCCATCTGTTTAAGTACTTTGCCATTGGTATTCATTTCTAAAAAGGTTTCGGATGGATCAAAATTTGCAGATCTTAGCACAAGACACACAAGTTGTACGTATGTTTGAACATGGGTCATTTGGATCAAGATTTGGAAAATCGAAAATATCAAGATAAGCCCTAGAATCTTTGTTATATGGAATCTCTTCTATTGCTTTCAATCATTGCACTTAATATAAAAGATATTAAGCATATTCAGTGTTTTAAATGTTGTGCCTTGCAATATGTCCTCTTAATAAAAAGGTAGCTAGAATAAAGCAAACAACTCATATCAGCAGATCAGCAGAATTTGACCTATTAATTCGGTTACAATTTATTATCATCTGATCTACAAATCACCTGAAAATAAGGTTTCTGACTCTCAAAAATCGTATTGTTGTAATAATCGTCATAATAAACTGAGAGTCAAACCAATCTCCCGACGTCAAAACCAATCTCTTTTTTGTATGTGCAAAGTGTCAAACAAATATCCCGACATAAAACCAATCTCTTGTTTGTATGTGCAGGGAAAACTACTCTGAAAGTTCTGAAAAGCTAAGTATTATCTCATATAACAATAAAACTAAGTGCTTTTGTTAACGAAATAGTTAACAAAATGGAAGCTCAAATCATGTTGAACATTTCATGCTCATTATGTTCAAACAAAACTTTTAAGAATCTCAAAGGATTACATTTGCATCAGAGTAGATTTCACAAACAGAATAATAACCATATTTCATTTACTAAGTCTTCACATATTTACTGTGCTTTATGTCCAGGCAAAAGCTTCAAGAATCTACAAGGGCTAAGTCGACACGAAGCACTAATTCATGCTAATTATAATATTCCTTGAGCTGGCTTAATACCTCAACCACTTGAAGCAATCTCTGAATTTAAAAAATCATTAGTATTTTTAATTCAAGACAAATTAAAAAATGGGTGTCAGCAACGAAAACAACATGTAAATGCACCATGCTTGGAGAGTTTGTTTGTGGGGACCTTTCATGGTAATATTAAGTGATATTCACCAAGCTGTGAATATTATTACTGTATATTTAGCAGAGTAGAAGCATATGAAACATTAAGTCA